ATTTGTTTGTGTATTTATATTTAAGATTATTTTTTAAATATTTGATCTCCATGTTGGACTTATCAAGTAACCTACTAAAAATATTTCTTATACATCTTCAAATATTTCTTACCTTTGAACACTACAATTCTATATAGAATTTAACAATAATGCACTGAGTTACATAACATAAGAAAAATTTTTTTTTACAAATTATGCAACTTTACACTTTTAATTAAGCATCCTTATTGTTTATGCTGAAAATGATTCAAACTAGAATCGAGAGAGAGAGAGAGAGAGAAACGTTTATTTTAGATTTTATCATATCGTAAAATAAAATTTTGTTATATACACGAATACCTAGTGTTTTATATTGGTACTAATTTCGTAGGATTTTATAATAACTGTATTTGTAAAATTTAATCCGTTCTAAAGCTTGTATATTTTTCATTGTTTATATATTATTAAAATAGATAACATTGCAATAATATTGAAATAATTATCACTTTTTTTCTTTCACCAATATTTATAGGAAGAAATTATTACGTTATCACTGCATCTATATCACGAAAAATGTAAATAAGATATATTCTTTATAATTTTATATTATCTTATTTATATTACACATACCAAAGCAGTATGGTTTGACCATCTTCCGACTTTTTCCCAGATAAAATCGTGCAAGTGAATATTCTCAAAGCCACTTATGTTAGGTAGTCTACTGCTCACTACATTCTGCGCATCGACTTTTGAGTTGACTGCGTAGTATCGATGTTTATTAAATATTTTCCAATGATTTTTTGGCGATACATTGACAATGCATTGTTTGATGCATTGATTCAGGATACAAGAAACGCGCGTGAAAAGTGGCAGTTGCAGAATCGTCATTACGCAAAATATGTTGATAAAATTATAGAATAAATGTTTTAAATGTAAATATACTATGCGCACTGCGTGTTGACATTACATAGATCATAAAGACTATTGCGAAGTTTCGACTGAATATATATGTACTGTCCCCACTAATTCGGGTAATGTAGTGATTACAACAAGAGCTGTTGTTATCTCATAAATATATAAGTTACAAAAATTTTATTATTTTTCTTAATACTTTTTCGATTTCTAAAAATTTCTTTTAGACTTCAAATCTAAAAGTGGAATATTTTAACTAATATTTTTTTTAATCAGGTGGAAGAAAAATGAAATTTTCTTTCATTTATATATCCGGGTGTTCAAAATAAAGCGTTACAAATTTTTATCTCGGAAACACAGCATTATTAAGAAAAATCAGTTCAGACAAAAGTTTTAAGCATGGCGTAATAAGGAGATCAAAACTCAAGCGACCG